TTTAAAAAAACATGGGTTCCTTTTTTAAATTTTGTTTTTTTTTTTTTTTTTTTTTTTTTTTTAACGTTGGGAAAATCAACTACACTTCACAACAGTTATTAAAACTAGAAGATGAGAAGGGAACATGTATCAAAACATGACCTGCTGTACACATGGATAAACAGAACACAATAGATAAAGCAAATAACTACTTCTTTTTAGAGATATACAAGGTACACTTAGTGGACAACCAGCCTAAAGTGTACCTATGCTACAAAGGAAGTGTGTAAGCCAACACCAGGTCGTTACAAGATATATATATATATAGCTAAAATTGTTAAAGCATGTAATGCAACTTTATAGTTTCAAATGGAGAATATACTAAGTGGGACTGAAAAAGTGAACATTGACCAAGATAGAGGGAACATCTAGAAGTGCTAATTGTACTCAAGCAGTACCTCAATATCTAGATCTTTATCTGGAATTTCTCCTGAAAAATAGCAGCAGATGGCCTGGTATAGGAGTGTGCCTAGGCACTTCTGTGCCTACAGACTCCTATCTACAAATCTGCAGTGTGAGATTTCCTGCACTGTTGCCTCTGAATGCTAGTCTACGGAGTTCTAGAGGGAGATATATGTCAAAATTACTTCTGTGCTGCTCATGGTTCTTCTTGCTGGAGGCTCTCAAACAGGAAAGCAAATCCCTGCCTCTACCAAAATGTCCACCTCCATAGAGACACACAGTGCAGAACAAGGCATGTTAAAGGAGAACTTTTCACTCACATCATAGTTCTAGCCGATAATGAGACTGTCACAGGTCGGCTCAGTAGATCGGGAGGTGAGCGAACACATACCGGCGTTCGCTTACCTCTCGATCCTGTCACGGCTCTCTGCTGTGACGGGGGGGGGGCTGGATTCCCCCCTCCCCGATCAGCCAGCGCTGACTGGCGGAACGGACGGGGGAGGGTACAGCTGGCTCTGCCTCTACATGGCAGAGCCAGCTGTCAGTCACGCAGCTGGGCGGATTTCGGCACAATTGTGGGGATCCACTTCAGCTGCGGCGTCTCAGTGTACCGTGAGCAGCAGCTCGCGGTATACTGCGGCGTCTCAGTATACCGCGATATACTGAGCCTGGAGTGACGGGAGGACGCTAGTTTGTGTCCTCCCATTACCCTGAGAACTATGGGGAAAAGCCTCAACCCCATAGTTCTCCTTTAAAACAGAACTATGGGGGGTAAGTGTTTTCCCCTATAGTTCTCTTTAGGGTCACGGGGGGACATATACTAGCGTCCTACCATGACCCAAAGCTCAGTATATCGCGAGCTACAGCTCGCAGTATACGGAGACCACAGCAGCTGGGATGGATCCCAACATTGCTGTCGAGATCCACCCAGCTGCGTCAGTGACAGCTGGCTCTGCCTATCTAGAGCCAGCTGTACCCGCCCTCTCACCCATCCGTACCACCAGTCAGTGCTGGAGGATCGGACAGGGTAGGGGGGAGCCGTGAGGACAGTCACCGCTCTCTTCAGGGAGATGTTCGAGAAGTGAGCGAGCGACGGTATGTGTTCGCTCACTTACTCTCTATTGAGCCGACGTGACAGTTTCATTGTCACACGTTGGCTCGAACTATGTGGATGAGTGAAAATCACTCACCTCAGTTCTCCTTTCAGTCAAAGACCTACTGCAAATATTAGACTGCTCAGTCCTCAATTTTCTTATGTGGTCAACTTCATTATTAATTTTCAAATAAGAACTACCTGAGCAATACAGAGAACTATCAGTTTTCCATTTATTTATTTTTTGTAATGCACTACCAAATATTATTTGAGGAGTTCACTTTCATGTATGATGTGAAAAAGAAAAGTACTTTCTGAAAAAGAACCTGTACTGCCATTGGCCTCCCCTTCTGAAACTGCCAGCTGCCCGGCTTCCATGGAGATAGTTGCTTCATTACTAGGCAGTCACCACCCTCTGAAACAAGTAGGCAGATTAGAACTCTGACGTACCTGATCTACATGACTCATCTGCATCAGTGCCTGAAAAAAGCACTGACAGTTAACTAGCATGTCCAGAAGGTGGCCCACAATGTTAGCCCCCTTACTTTTTCCAGTACAGGTTTCCTGTCAAGGGTTGCATTATACCATTTTTCTACAACCACTTACTTGCTAGTTTTGCTTGTAATCCTGAGGGTCCAGGTTTTGACGTCTCAGCCTTGGAAGATCCCGGGAGGGAAAGTTTTGTTTTGGAAAGGCTGACTTTTGGGCTAAAACGAGCAGCCCAGTCAAACTTGGAGGAGCTACTAGCTTTGGCCTGTTCTTTTTCCCGGCTGCTCCTCCGAGGGCTGGGACTGGAGGCAGAACGGGAACGCCTTGCCTTGTTCTGGTCCTTCCCCTGTTTTACTCGAGCTCCAGGTGGGGCAGCAGAAGAGACAGAGGCGACAGCAGAAGAGGAAGAAGAAGAGGTGGAGGCAGAAGATGAGGAATCAGTAATAGTGCTACACCCAGCTTTGGCTGAGGTGGCCGATTTTGAAGCCAGCTTGGTGGGTTTTGGAGGCCTGTCTTCTGCACCAGTCGCTACTATGGCTGCGCTGCTGCTCTTCACACAGGAGGAGTTATCTGTCCTTTTTCTTTTGTGCAGCGGGGATGGTCCGGGGACTCCACCCTTCCTGTTGTGTGCTTTGCTTGTGGATGGCAATGATGTGGGTGGAGCCGAAAGCTCCTGGTCAATCTGTCTCTTCTTAGGTTTATTATTTGGTCGCCTCGACCCAATGGAGGGTTCAGCGTGCTGAAGTGCTTTGGGTTTTTTAGCAGAGCCAGGCGAGTTGGTCCGGCTATAATCAGGACTGGCACTACGTTTCAGTCCACGGGAAGAATCTTTTTTAGGCCTGTGGCTTTCTGAGCTGTTTGGTTCTGGGTCCTCTGGATGTGGTATTGAAAAAGGTGCGATACAGCCCCTGAAACAAAAAGGAACAAGTAAAAAAAAAAAAAAAGCAATTTTTGCTAAAAAAAATAAACAAACATTTAAAGCGCCTGCAGACTAAAGCATTATTTCTGGAAGAAAAACATTCCTCACACTGTACACAGGTTTCTGACAAATGATTTAAAAAAAAAACAAAAAAAAAAACATACCATATTCTAACCTACAACAGAAAATACATTACAGCTGGAATTAGGTTAACATACGCTCCTCTTAACTGTCTATACCCTTGACAACAGCTTTATTATTTTATGTATGTACAGATTCTTAATGAGCCCTCACATACCTCTGTAGTGGCAGGCACTCTGGAGCAATTCCTTCAAGTTCACAAGAGTAATACTGAATAAATTATCTTAGCAGAATAGCTCACCTTGCTTCCTCCTCCCAAAATGTGTGCATTCTGTGTTCAAATTTGGGATTATAAGGCTGCCATGTCAATGCATGGAGGAGGGAGCTGAAGTGGACTTCAGTGCATCGGCTGTGAAACTTGAGAATTACTTCATAGTGCCTGCAACTAAATAGGTCAGTGAGGGCTTGTTTCAAAGTATATTTACTGTGTGGAAGGAATATGAAAATTCAGGTTAATTTTAAGTAGAATTTAGCACCTTAAATTCCAGGTTCATGATTTTATCTTGGGAAAAAAAAAAAAGTCACCAGCACACATTTGCCTGCATTCCCATGACTGCCAAAAAAAAAGACTGACTGTGAAATGCCAGCCCTGAGTTTAACAGAAACAGATGCAAATACTTTAAAAAATATATATATTTTTCAATATCTAAATAAAACGAGGTTAACAAAATTTGGGTCCCCGTTCTCACTTTATATGTACTCTTGGAATTCTGGATAAAAAAAAAAGTGAGCGTCTGGTACAGAAAATATTCACAAGCTGTACAAATCTGTGCTTAAGAATTGTGCGTGCGTGTCTGGTATAGTAAATTAAAGTCAGACAAATGCACTCATCAATGTATAACCAGCTTTAAAGCAAGGTGCATACAGGGCTTTACACAATACAGAAGCAAAAAGTTACCAGCTAAAAAAAACAATTAGGGTTAAAAACAGAGGTTTTAGTTGTACAACTTCTGCAAAATATGTGAAAGCCGCACTGCCTCGTCAAGTCCCCTCTGAATAGTGGGGTCCTAACTCTAATCTATGAGAGCCTCCATCTTGGAGCATACACCAAGTGGTCAGATACTTAGTTGGGCCGCCTCGTGACTCCACGAGATGTTGAAAAGTGATGCGAGGAATCTGACACTGCACTGTTGCCCTTCTGTTGTCTTGTACCAGTCTTGCCACTCTCTGTTCTGCCCTAACATTGACTAGTCGCTGACGGCCACAATTCGCATGTTCAGACCAAGATTTTCGGCTGACAGTCCGGTCTTTAAACACTTTAACAACAGCTGCTCTTGAACATTTAACAAATTCTGCTGTTTTGCCGACACTCGCTCCATGGCTCAGAGCGCCAACAATCATCCCACGTTCAAAGGCTGTTAAATTGCGTTGCTCACCCATATCTTCAGAAAAACATCACTTCTACTGTCGTGGTAAACAACCTGCTTCCCTATTTATAATGGTCTGGCCCTCTAGCAACTTCAGCCCAAAATTATAGCTAATTTTCCTACAAATGTCAGGTGTCATAATAATCTGGCCACTCAGTGTATATAGCAAAGGATGAATTGGGTGCAGTTTTCCAGCTTTCTGAAGACCTACTACTCCAGACTAACCATTTCTGCCAATGTATTGCCGTTTTATTAGTAATATTTCCCAGAATACAATGGAGCACAGTGAACATTGTGTGGTATGAACATGCTGATAACAAATGAAGAATTTAACCGTTTTTGGTAGATTTCATGGGCCACTTTAAGCTTTTCTAGGATTTGTTAGTGAAATGATTGGACAGGTCAAAACCCTTCACTGCAAAGGCAACCGTGTAGAGAATGGCTATCCATACGCCAAGGACAATCAGGAGCCCTAAAACATGGCGCGCTTTGCTGCAATGATATCAGCAGTTTTTAGTGAAAGAGGCTGTAATCTCTAAAATAAAAAAATTCAGTCCACAAAAGGTTCACTTACATAACAGAGACCACCAGAGTACTGTAAAGAGGGGTGGTAAACTCTTTGAACATCAAGGAAGCTTGGTTGACTGTACCAACTGAATTACAGCTGACATTTTTTCAGGCCTGAGCAATAATGTCATCAGTGCTTAGAGGAAGTGATTTTACTTCTGCAGCAGCAAGTTACATATTACCCATGTCATAAATTAACAGCAATATGAGCAATACCATACAGTTCATATTGTTTCACACTGAACACGTCAACACTTTCTGCTGCATCACACATTGAACTTGACAGACTTATGTCTTTTTTTCAACCTTATCAACTAAGCAAAAAAAAAAAACCCATGTTACATTTGCATGGTAGAAGTACAAAGTACAGTTCACAGAAACCACAACATACCTTTGGAAGCCAGAGACCATAAGTGGATTTTGGCCAGGGTCATGGATGTTTGGATGTCCAGGTCATCATAAGGCTGCGTTCACACCTGACCGTTTTGTAGGGCGTTCTACGCTCGACGAACGCTCTACAAAACGATCAAAAATATAAATTGCATTGTAGTCAATGCCCTCGTTCCCACCTCGCCGTATTTGCGCCCGTCCCTAACGCCCTACAAAACGGCCCACTCCTGAAAAGGTCCCGGGCCGTTTTGTAGGGCGTTTTCCATTTGGCTACTGCCAAGTAGCCTTTGGGGTCGCGCGACTTTTACCGCGATTAAACCGCGACAGACGCGCATATTACAATACGCCTAGGTGTGAATGGGGCCTAACAGTTTAGCAGGCCAGAGACCAGCTTGTTTGTAAATAAAGTCATGTATCCATTATGATTGGCAGTTCTAGTGATCATATGACCAAAAAACTTTCCCATTGGTTCACTGGAATTGGTCCAGATTTCTTCAAGCATATGAGATTGGGGAGAGTGATCTAGTTCAGAAAATGGTGCATGTAGAGCAGGGGTAGGCAAACTCCAGCTGTGGGGAAACTACAAATCCCATTCATGTACCTGCCTCTGGGAGTCATGTCTTTGGAGGTCGGAGTCTTGCAATGCCTAATGGGATTTGTAAGTCCCAGGAAATGAAGATGCTTGTGTAATAATTGCTAGAGTCTGACTGCTCTGCTGTCCAACGCATTCTGGGTCAGTGGCTCAGAGCACGTAGGCAAAGCCCTGACTTCCCTCTGAAATGAGTGTCTGTATACTTGCTCTAGGTCAGTGGGAGTCAATGTCAGTGTCCACATCCTTGCTAAACCCTACAAACTGCATGGTGTCTGGCTACCAAGAACACAGATTGTGTTTAGGTTATTGGAAACTATAGAGAATCTACTAGCTTTTAATCTGGTAGGCGACCTTCAGAATTATAGGCGAATCAGAGAGGGAGAAAAAAGGCCGCAGGGAATGTATAATAAGTGATTGAATATGGCTGCCCCCATGTAAAACAGAAGTAGAACCCAATCCTACCGGATCAATTGCGTTAAGTTGCACACAAAAAAGAACATGCACCAACTTTTTTTTAGCACAGCGTAATGCAACGGATGCGGTGTGAACTAGCCCCACTCACAGCCATTCATTTTTTGGTGCCCTTCAGTTAGCATCCGATGAAAAATGTATTGCAACGCAATGGATAGGAAGACAATCGGAAGGTACAGTTGCAAGTCAGCATGTCAACGGATCCTTCATTGACTTGCAATTTCCTTCAGATTTTGGTGTGAATGGGCCCTAAGAGTTATCAAATTGCTGAGGACAATTGTACATTAGAAGCAGATAGGTCACTTATTGCTCTGGCTACGCATAAGCCATCCGCTGGTCATGCACCTCGGATGTTTGGAGATGACGTTTGTGTGCACCATGAATACACTTTTTGAGACAAAGTGCAGAACAAGGCACGATAAGTCAGTAATGGGAATACAGATCAGCAGCAAGATAGGCTTGACTCTGCTTGCCTTTTTTGGACACACCTTCAACATTTCAGGTCCTGTAACCAAGTGTTTATGTCCTCTGTTTTTCTTTATAGGAGCATTTGGAAGCATGTCTATTGCTTTTTTATTCCCCCTCCCCCCTTTTAATCTTATCAAATATAGAGGACTGAACAGTTCCTAGGGATGTATAATGCCCGCGCATGCACAGGGCATTGAATGATGATCGTTTTGACAGTAGGGGTTTTCTTCGATAGTTGCATGCTGTGGAGCACCCAATTAAATATGACACAGACAGACCTTTGCGGATGTGTAAAGTGCTCCCACTTGTTGAATGGACAAAAATTTTATACAATGAAAATGTTATACAATGAAAATGTTATACTAATAAGTGGGCCATGTCTACTGTACATTGGTTTAATCCACCCTTTCTTGCTCTCACGTTGACATTAGAGCGACCTGCTGTCAAATTAGTATGAAAAATAATAGGACATAGAATATAAATGGGGACACATTCAGATGTTATTTTCTCAATATCTATCCTGTTGGCAAAATTACTCACCGGCTTCATACACTGGTGAGTAACATGTCTGTGCATTCTTTAAAATGGTAAAGTAGTTAAAAGAAGAGCGAGAGAACAGTTGGCGCTCAGGCAAAATGCATATTTTGGATGAAAGAATGACTCGTATTAAGCAGTAAAGCACGGTAGATAAAATTAAATATTCCTTCTGGACAGATTGATACATTTGTTTGAATATTTGAAGGTGAAAATACAGTGGAACACCATCATAAAACATTGCTAGCAAACTGATGTAGGCGTGAACACAATCACATACTGCTGAACAGAGAAAACCAAAGAACAAATCTGTGACCGTTTCTAAAATGCTAATTCTGCGTTAACCTGGTGTAGATACTGGAAGACAGCAAAACCCCTGAATATTCTAAAGTCTAACAAAATGGCTTGACCCATTTGTGCAATTCACACCCACCATTAGCAAGAAATTCTGCCAGCAAAGCAGACGGAAGCAATTTGAAAAAAGTAGTTAGTAAAGTTACCTTTTAGAGCTGTATCCCCTGGGCTGGCCAGAAGCTGTATTAGACTGCACTTTGGGGGTCTTAGAAAGATTTTTTCTGCTCTCTGGAAGGCTAAAGGTCTTATGGTCTGCCTGCTCTAACTGGGACCTGTTGCTGGAAAACCAAGAAAGAACTGCATCAGAGGATACAGAAAACAGATCCCTCCAGTCACAGTACAGTATGAGAAAGACAACTCCCAAAGTGCAAGACATAAACATCAATAGAAAGTAGAAAACATATACAGGTACATAATAGTCCCCCATCAAGGATCATGACCAGGATGACTGCTGAAGAGTCTGAGGAGCAGCCCTTCCCTTGTATCTACAGATATGGAAGAAGAAGCCATTATCATCTCTATATATGCTGAACAAGACTGACATCTAATAATTCCAAATCCAAGTAAGGAATGGTTCTTTCCTGATCCAAGAGATGATTAGATATTTGTGGCATTTAGTATGGTTAGTAAGACTCTGAAGAATAGTACAGGCTTAAAATTTGTGACCTCCCCGTAGCTTCACCTCTGCAACATGGCACACACTCTTTACCTTCCTCCTGCAGTGTCCTCTTGCGGCTGGGCCCCGGCAGTGTTCCTCTGTGAACGTCGCAGTGACCCCCCTGGATTGTTATTAGGCCGGCTGGACATTGGCACCTCTCTCCTGAAGGGACATACCCTTTCTAGACACTACCATTCACTAAAACAAAAAAGGCAAAAAGAAAAGGCTGGTTAGCACACATTTTTCAGATTTCTGTACAGTATATCATCAGCACAAAAAACAATTAACATCAATTTATCTGACTCGTTGCACCATCCCCTCCACAATACAGCATTGTACACTTAGCTAGAACACAGTGCCATAAAGACAAAAATGACTGCAGCTGTTGCATCCCATGAAACTGCTATGGAACCCAGTATATGAAGAACCTGTCATAAGGTTCCCCAACAGCATTCCAGAACTACAGCTATGGGTAAAATGAATGTAAATATATTTGAGGACGTAAAGCGGAACTACAACCTTCTATACCCTACAGCCAACAAAGGTCCCATCTTAACCTCCATTTGGATTGCAGTTATCATGGTGCTGCACATGTGACCAGCTATGACACCAGCCATCTGAGGGCTTGAAAGTTCGGTTGCAAGCTGAAATAAGCGCATTGGCAACCTTGACAGCTGGGAGACCATTAAATTGGTGGGTAAAGTTCCCCTAAGTAAAATAGCAGTTTGTGTTAATGGTTCTTTAACAATGAGACCGCTCACTACAATAGCACTGCCATTTATTGTATAGCCGGCATGAAAAACATGAAGGCTACCACTGGTGAACCTTTATCTGAACTCAGCTTCTCGGCTAGTAATACTGATGGTTTGTCTACCAGGCATACAGCAGAACTATATCCTCTTGTCCTTTAGACAAGTTGTCATCTTAGCCTTTATTTGGATCGCAATTGCCACGGGGCTGTATATGATCAGCTATGACGCCGGCCATTTGAGGGCTTGAAAGCTCGGTTAAGAGCCGAAATAAGCACACGGATAACAACACTTATTACTAGAGGAATACCTTGAATTTCACTGTTTTTGGAGTGAAATTGGTGGGTCTAGCTTTAAGATCCAAAATTCTGATTTGTCTCTAGCTTTTATTTGCTACAAGCCTATTCTGGGATAGTGATGCAGATATAATGCATACAGACACATCCAGACTGCTAGGCTTTTATATTTAGAATTGATAGAGTGGAGAAAGAGTTAACAAAATGATGTCTGAGACCGTTGAGGAGACTTTCTATTCACTTACTGCCGCCCCCATGTGACACACATACACTTAGGCAAGAATAAAACAGAGGTCCTGACCCCTCCTCACTCAACTAAATTAGATTTTGCTTTTTGTCTGTTGGGAGAGAATTCCTATTACTTCCTGTGCCAATAGGAAGTGAAGGGAAACCTCTCCAATAGGGACACTGATGGCAATAACAACCTTTCCCTGCTCGATCCAAAACCAAGAGAAAAAAGTTCAAAACTGGAATTTTTGGTTTGCCTAGACTCTACAGTTAACAATTAGCCAACAATGTTACATAATTGGGACCTGCAACATTACCCCAGCTTTACCCCTTGGTCCCAGCCCTAATCAACCCAATGGACTAGCTGCCATCACACACAAAGCTTTCAATCTAAAAACCATGATGCATTCTTATAGCCTTACACCTGACAGAATGTGTTCTGGTTTTGAAGGGAGCGCTTCAAAAAAACAAAGAACGTCATTAGGCTAATTAACGTCTTAAAAAATAAAATGTTATATATATATTAGAGCATCAAAACTGAAATCGCTGACCCTGACATGTAACACTACAAAAAAAACAGATCAATGGTGTAAACTGGCTGTAAAAGTCTAACATTTTACATGTTTTGTGGAGGAGTAGTGTGGCAATTTGTGTTTACATATCAATGTGGGCAAAACTTATTTGCAAATGTTTATAGTCCAGAGAGGAAGTGTAAGGGCCACTTTATTTCCTCCCAACCCAGCAACACATACTCACTGCTCCTTCCCTTTCACCTCATTCAGGAGCAAAGATTGACAGCCCCGTGTAAGCTCCAGGGACACTTGTTAGAGCTCACACAGGGCGCAGGACTCCCTTTCTGCCCTCATGTGACAATGCTGGGCCAATCACTAGACACCAACAATATCAGATAGGAAAAGGGGCACATATCACATGACTTTTCATACCAGGAATTGACAAGGGAAGAGGGTATGTGCTGTTAGGATGGGGTAAAATATGTGACCCTTGTTCTGCAATGTGAACGGTGTCATAATGTAATGATCAACTGAACAGTCAGAACAGCCAAGTTACTTACAATAACCAAAACACATTCACACCACTGCGTTAATGCACATTTGTTTCTCACACTTGCCACATGTCCCCATTGACCTCATTAGGGTCCTAAATGCACTAAAAGTAGAAAGGTAGTGCATGTAGCAAATTCTATGACATGCCTTTCCCCCCACATTAGAACGCACACAAACATGGTCTTCCTGGCCGTGTTTGGGGTGTCTTTGGGGTTTGCATTTTTGAAGCATTTCGCAAATGAGTGTCAAGGCACACAAATTTTACGTGCGCTTCATGCACGGAAGCAAAACGTTCAGGTGTGAATGAGGACTTTAGGTCCATTCACGCCACATGCAGTGGGGTTATGCTGGCCATTGTTTCCAGCGCAGACCCAACACAAGACAATCTGCCTTGGCACACATGGACACCTTTCACACCACTTCATTGTGGTGGGAACGTAGTGGTGTATGCTGAAAACAAAACAAAAAAGAATGGCAAGCCTTATTTTTTTTCAGCACAGCGGGATGTGACGAGGAACAACCGCCTCGCACCCAACTGTGCCCATAGAACTGAATCAAAATGTCACTTCAATTAAGTTGCAAAACGTTGGCACTTTGTTGGGCACGGCACACTGCTGAGGTTGGTGAGAATGGACCCCAATGTGAGGCATAATGCGCGTGGTGTGAAGGATCTTCAATTAAATGGGCCTAATACACCAAAATGCACACAAAAAAAAAAAAAGGGTACATGTACTATTTTTTTTTTTGCAATGGAGCCCCACCAACACTTCAAAATTAAATGACACTACATTGCACGTCCATCGGCAGCATGGGTAGGGGTGCCATTCAGAATAACACACTTCAGAAAGGAAGACAGCGCAATATTGCCACATGATGGTCTGAACAGCGCACCATGTGTTAAGATGCATTGCATTAAACACAAACAACTTCAGCTGAGCTGAAGGAAAAGCCGACACGAGTCTTTTTAGCGCATTAAACCAAAATACACGTTTTACTGCATATTACCAAAAAGCATATTACCAAACATTGTCCATGCCAACACTACAAAATCTAAATTATCGACAATGGAAACAAAACTATATAAAAAAGGCACAAAAACAGGACCCAGAGGAGCACTTACCCCACACTACAGAAAGAGGTCAAAACAAGTCTCTGTGGAGTACTTGAAATGAGCTTGTTTTTATGCAAGGCAGGTGACATCATAATGAGAGCAAAAAACCCTAAAGTATCTGAATTCCATGATGTCCCATTATAGGAAATACCCTTCACTATACACACAAATTCAACACACCCAGGCATGATAAAAAACAGGAGAACAAAAAAGAAATAAAATGGAAAAAAAATGCATCCCACAGAAAAGTACCATAGAGTCCAAATATACTGTACTGTCTGCACATGATAATCAGTCTGTCCTATATCAAAACAATCTGACTAATACATGTCCCAGATCGTAGAGGGAAAAGAACTGGAAACATTTTCTTAGTTACTCTGCTCGCCAAGGGGACAAAGAGCATGTAGAACTTTGTCCCGTCTTTCTAGGTGGTGTGTATGCCAAGGGGACAAAGAGCATGTAGAACTTTGTCCCGTCTTTCTAGGTGGTGTGTATGCCAAGGGGACAAAGAGCATGTAGAACTTTGTCCCGTCTTTCTAGGTGGTGTGTATGCCAAGGGGACAAAGAGCATGTAGAACTTTGTTCCGTCTTTCCAGGTGGTGTGTATGCCAAGGTGGCGTGGTGGACAGCGGCGTGGTGGACCCTCCCGTTAGTCTACAGTGGACAAAAGGAGGAGAATCACTAAAGGAGGACATAACAGAGGGGGCAGTAGCTATAAGGTTTTGCAGGAACTCCCCCATAGGGATGTCCACAAATTAGACTCCATATGGGGTGGAGCTTAGAGCCAAAAATACAAGACATAAGAAGTGCTTGTCTGCTAAATATTTCTGAAGATCGTTTCTGAAGCACAGACCATTTATTTTTTATACAGGAATCCCTAGACCAGCAGGCAACGTTTTAGTTCTGTGGAGACTTCAAGTAGCAGGTGAAACCGGCTACACATACGCTGGTCAAATGCGGGAAACATGCCGTCACACTACATGAACAATCCTGCTACAATGGGGACAATTTAATGCATAGATTGGAAGTCGAAGAATAGAACTAGAACAGCAGCAGTGTAGGAATAGAAGACATAATATACAATTTGTACTTTGCATTTCATATCTGACTTTTGGGACGATCTCCACACAGTTGTGAGCAACTCCAGAAGATCTGTACAGGTCCAGTCATACACACATTGGCTTTGTACAAGGTGTACACTCCATTCAGGTCCCTGCGTGGCAGCGCGGTCCACTGTGTTGCTGTGCAGCTACCTGTACTGCGATCCATTGCGCTACGATAAAATGCATCATCTTTACATTTTACTGACGCGCAGCACACCACCCATCACACCCATGTGGTGAATGGGACACATAGAAAAACAATGTAAGTGACCGCTGGGACAAATTGGAAATAATTGTTCCAGTGCGGTACAGTTAGATTTGTAAACAGGCCCTGAGCGGAAAGGCTACACTGGCTGCCAAGAAGAAATGCAAAGATGAAACACATAGAAATCAGCGATCAACTCAACTGATCTCCTTCTAAATCCGTATCAAAATCTAAAATATATCAGATTATGAAAGCACGGCATGCAGATATGTAAAAGGGAGTGGGTGTTATATGCACGGCAAGGCAAATCAAAAAGCTTGGAACCCCAGTAACTTATACTCACCTGTCCTTCACACCCTCACTGCTCTATTCAGTTGCTGAGTGCAATGGAAATACACATTATTTCTGGGTATGGATGCAGCTCACTCTGCTTCCTCT